GCCTGACAAGTTAGCAACACACTTAAACACGTGTGTAGTGTCACCAGTGTGATTGGATGAAGAATAATGTTAATGTTTGAGAGCAAACAGGACACCGTAGAAGACAGCATCCAGGATGCAACAACTGAACAAGAAAAAATTGTGCCCAGGGACAAGGATGCCCCCGCTGCTGTAGGGAGAGTTCACTACACTGAGTACACACCTTTCGAGTCCCAATGAAACACATGTATAAGCTTAATCAATTCTGTTGAGCAGTTTTTGTGGAGAAGTGGATAGACTTAATCCCCTATTTCACTATCATCAGAGAGAAATTCAACAAGTTCAAATGTCTCTTCACATACAAAAAAAATATATAAAATACAAAAACAAAATATGAGATGCACACCTTTAGAGTCTCTATAAAAGACATATGTAAGCTAAATGAGTTTTGTGCAGTGGTTTTTGAGGAGAAGTGGATAAAGTACACCCCCTGTTGTATGGGACGAACTGGATGAATAGAACAAAATTCACCTAAGTTCAAACATCTGTAGAAGTGACAAAATTAAGAAATTGGATGAACAAAGTATGAGATGCACACCTTTAGAGTTCCAATGAAACACACGTAGAAGCTCAATCAATTCTGTTGAGCAGCTTTTGTGGAGAAGTGAATAGACTTCACCCCCTACAACACTATATTCAGAGAGAAATTCAACAAAATTTATCTAAGTTCAAATGGCATTAAAATTGGAAAAATAAATAAAATACAAAATCAAAATATGAGATGCACGCCTTTAGAGTCCTTATAAAGCACATGTGTAATCTAAATAAATTCCATAAAGTAGTTTTTGAGGAGAAGTGGATAACGTACACCCCCTGTTGGATGGAACGAACACTGGCTGAATAGAACAAAATTCAACTAAGTTCAAACAGCTGTAAAAGTGACAAAATTAAGAAATTGCATAAAAAATTATGAAATGCACACCTTTAGAGTCCCTACAAAAGACATGTAGAAGTTCATTCAATTCTGTTGAGCAGTTTTTGTGGAGAAGTGGATAGACTTCATCCCCTATTACACTATCATCATAGAGAAATTCAGCAAAATGTACCTAAGTTCAAATGTCTCTAAACTTACAAAAAAACACACAATAAAATAAAAAAACAAAATATGAGATGCACACCATTATAGTCCCAAGAAAGCCCATGTATAAGTTCATTGAATTCCACAGTGTGGTTATGGTGGAGAAGTGGATAGAATACATTCCCTGTTTCGTGCGGACAGACGGACACCGAGGGTAACCCTATATTGCCCAGCCATATATGGCGGGGGCATAAAAATGCCTACACCCCCACATCCTTACCTCCAGCCACCATGTTGCACCAGTATCTCCAAGGAGAAGATTTTGTCACATTTACTAAGACTGAATGATACATTTCGACATGTCAGATAGCCTCTAACTGTGAGTTCAGTTCGCACATACACCATTTTATTATTATTGTAGGATATTTATATAGCACATATATCCACACACCAGTGCATGCTCAAGGCGCTGGTTTTTTCCCCTCGATCATTGGATGTCAATCTTAATCGCATATCTTATTATCACTCTCAACTCACTGGGGAGCATACAACTCTTGCTGCCACAAGGCGCACCGAGCTATTGCAGCTTTCCATTCCTTACGAGGTACCCATTCACAGCTGGGTGGACTGGGACACATAGTCACAGTACTTTGTCCAAGTTTACTGCACGTTGCTGTACCCACAACTAGGTGTTTGCACGTATTCATGTGGCCACCATCTGGTCATCTACCAACGGATTCGTGGGTTATTTTAAGTGCACAGGGTTGTGTACTGTACACTATAGTTTGGCATGAAATGCATGTGGACCCGGTTTTTTGTAAATATCTCTTCATCCAATGACCCAATCGATCTTAAACTGTGCAAGTGGATGTTTTTTCAGACAACCTAATCACATTGTAAATCACCGATTTTATGCATTTGTATTAAAGAATCCGTCTATGTAACTGTCAACAAAATAAACAGCAGAACGCAGAATGCTTGCAGAGGGCTGGAGCCAATGACCTGTAACAGCGTCAGTGTTGGGTCATAAAGGTCAACGTTCGTCAATGTAGGTCAGCTATGCACGTGACAGATATGAAGAGGTGTCACAGGTCGTGAATAGGGTAAGGTGGGTGCCAACTGTTAACCATCATACGGAGTTTGTTTCTCTGAGTTGTTCATCATTAACCACAAAACCCATTAGTGAGAATTATTCTGTAGGTTAAAATCTTTAAATTTTGCAAATAGCCCGCGAATGACATCTCTGATGACCCTGATGTCAAAAGAATCTAACTTTGGATGCCTACCTTTTTGTACAAGGTTTTGTGTATTGGTTGTTGGTTTATTTTTCACAATTTTTAGCACGATGTTCTTTTCATGCCAAGAGCAAAAGTACATACGTTTCATGTAATCCGACACCTTATAAATCGGTTTGCTACGTTTGCTCTCTTTTTAAAAAATATTCAACACATTTCTAATTAAACGTTTAGCATCATCTGAATAAGCTTTCATGATGACAGCTAGAAGTAGTCAATGTGAATGATCCAAACGGTCTATCACTGTGCTGTGCACAGGTAACTATCATGAACTGTTGACCTTTATGACCCAACACTGCCGCTGTTACAGGTCATTGGCTCCCTCCCTCTGCAAGCATTCTGCGTTCTGCTGTTTATTTTGTTGACAGTTACATAGACAGATTCTTTTATACAAATGCATAAAATCGGTGATTTACAATGTGATTAGGTTGTCTGAAAAAACATCCACTTGCACAGTTTAAGATCGATTGGGTCATTGGATGAAGAGATATTTACAAAAAAACGGGTCCACATGCATTTCATGTCAAACTATAGGGGTTGTGACAACACTGAAAGAGTCTGCACACAAAATTTTTACACCCGGCCACAGGTGGGCTCGATCCCGGCACCTCATGCCCACTGGATCACTAGCCTGGCGCCTTAGCCAGCTCGCCCACCAGGTGCACGCCATTTAACAGAGCACAAGTGAAATCCAAGTCACCTATTATGCCAACAAGGATCTGAGACTTGCACTCAATACAATGTCAACAAGATCTCAATGTCACAATTCACCCTCGCACTTCTCCCTCTGACCTCAACAGTACTGCCATGTTTTATCTGGCATCATTGTGGGGACAATTCACCCTCTCACTTCTCCCTCTGACCTCAACAGTACTGCTATGTTTTATCTGGCATCGTTGTGGGGACAATTCACCCTCTCACTTCTCCCTCTGACCTCAACAGTACTGCCATGTTTTATCTGGCATCGTTGTGGGGACAATTCACCCTCGCACTTCTCCCTCTGACCTCAACAGTACTGCCATGTTATATCTGGCATCGGTGTGGGGACAATTCACCTCTCACTTCTCCCTCTGACCTCAACAGTACTGCCATGTTTTATCTGGCATCGCATTGTGAGGACAATTCACCCTCTCACTTCTCCCTCTGACCTCAACAGTACTGCCATGTTTTATCTGGCATCGTTGTGGGGACAATTCACCCTCGCACTTCTCCCTCTGACCTCAACAGTACTGCCATGTTTTATCTGGCATCGGTGTGGGGACAATTCACCCTCGCACTTCCCCCTCTGACCTCAACAGTACTGCCATGTTTTATCTGGCATCTGTGGGGACAATTCACCTAAGCACTTCACTTCCCTCTGACCTCAACAGTACTGCCATGTTTTATCTGGCATCGTTGTGGGGACAATTCACCCTCGCACTTCTCCCTCTGACCTCAACAGTACTGCCATGTTTTATCTGGCATCGTTGTGGGGACAATTCACCCTCGCACTTCTCCCTCTGACCTCAACAGTACTGCCATGTTTTATCTGGCATCGTTGTGGGGACAATTCACCCTCTCACTTCTCCCTCTGACCTCAACAGTACTGCCATGTTATATCTGGCATCGGTGTGGGGACAATTCACCCTCGCACTTCTCCCTCTGACCTCAACAGTACTGCCATGTTTTATCTGGCATCTGACTTCTCCCTCTGACCTCAACAGTACTGCCATGTTTTATCTGGCATCGTTGTGGGGACAATTCACCCTCTCACTTCCCCTCTGACCTCAACAGTACTGCCATGTTTTATCTGGCATCGTTGTGGGGACAATTCACCCCTCACTTCTCCCTCTGACCTCAACAGTACTGCCATGTTTTATCTGGCATCGTTGTGGGGACAATTCACCCTCTCACTTCTCCCTCTGACCTCAACAGTACTGCCATGTTTTATCTGGCATCGTTGTGGGGACAATTCACCCTCGCACTTCTCCCTCTGACCTCAACAGTACTGTCATGTTATATCTGGCATGGGACAATTCACCCTAAGCACTTATCTCTGGCCTCGTTGTACTGGACATGTTATATCTGGCACTTGGGGACAATTCACCTCTCACTTCTCCCTCTGACCTCAACAGTACTGCCATGTTATATCTGGCATCGTTGTGGGGACAATTCACCCTCTCACTTCTCCCTCTGACCTCAACAGTACTGCCATGTTTTATCTGGCATCTGGCATGTGTGGGGACAATTCACCCTCGCGACTTCTCCCTCTGACCTCAACAGTACTACTGCCATGTTTTATCTGGCATCGCTGTGGGGACAATTCACCCGTAGACTTCTCCCTCTGACCTCAACAGTACTGCCATGTTTTATCTGGCATCGTTGTGGGGACAATTCACCCTCTCACTTTCCCCTGACCTCAACAGTACTGCCATGTTTTATCTGGCATCGGTGTGGGGACAATTCACCCTCGCACTTCTCCCTCTGACCTCAACAGTACTGCCATGTTATATCTGGCATCGTTGTGGGGACAATTCACCCTCGCACTTCTCCCTCTGACCTCAACAGTACTGCCATGTTTTATCTTGCATTGTTGTGGGGACAATTCACCCTCGCACTTCTCCCTGAGACCCAAACAATACGACCATACAACAAATAAAAACAAAGGATTAATTACAAAACTTTATTCTGGAATGTTTGTAATGAAATGTTTCATAATTGTACAATGTCCACTATGTACAAGTAAAAAATGTCCCTCCCATCCCAATGACTCTAATAATAGTGGTGTGAAACAATTTGCCTTAAAATAAACTGATTTCCACAAATATCTTTAACCCGGTTGAAGCCTTTCTCATTAGTATATAAGCACACAGAATTATGTTACACAACAAATCAATAAAAGAATTTATGAAAATTCTTGACATGTTTCAAATTGAGAATTGAACTTTTTAATTGTTATTCAGGATGTATTCGACAATTCCATAATATTCTTTTGCACAAATGTATATATAAGCCATGCTCACACACTAATGAAGTCAGGAATTATGAGAAAATCCCATGATCAAATATAAAACATTTAAAATATATTGTAAAAAATAATGTTTATATATTTTACAATGATCAACTCTAGAATGATCGTCACTGATGAAATATAGGGCACTATGTACATTATGGCAATTAACACTTACATTGATATGTACCTATGATTAATCTTCTACTGTTTGTATGTACATCAAGCTCAACACAGACATTCTCAAGAAATGTCATCTAGTTGCTAAATAATGAATATTGTGGCTTGTACTAGCATAACTAACAATACTATAGAAAATTCAAGTTTAAAAACAAACAAATAATCAACACTATTTGGATTTTTGTGATGAACCTGGATGTGTACATTGAAGAAAGATGCGATTGAAGCACCATAAAATATACAGTATTTAGGTGCAGTGTCTCTTAGTTACTCATCCACGTGATTAAAAGAATTTGATTCTGAAGGTGATGATGTCATCTTCTTCTAAACAAGGAGTTTGTTTGCTAAGAAATTAGTAATGATTCTTATGTACATATCAGATGTAACTGCCATTTGGAAGTGTTCCAGAATGGCAAGTACTTCCTCAAGAGCAACTCTCAGGCTATCTGCCTTAGGGGTGGGGCAAACAGAATGATGAAAACAGATCTTCAAAACATGATGGACCTTCAGTGTTATCTGACCAACGAACACTGTGAGCATCACTGCGGTATAAACTTACATCATGGAATTCCTTCTGGCTAAACCGTTGACATAACATTTTACAATAACCTAATGTCATGAAAAAACATTAATAGAACAAAAGTTTTGGAATAAAGACATTCTTCAAATGTTATCGAAAATAAACATGTCTTCAAAACATTAACAGTAAACATTATTGCTAGCCAAAAAATCCTGTTTTTCACACAAATGAAGAGGATGCCTTACCCCCACTGGGGGATTTACCAGATGGCGAGTAGCGAAGGTCGTCATCACGGTCATACTTCTCGTCATCTCGGTGAGACGGCTTCCTGTCATAGTCTTCATATGCATCACGGTTATAGTCATCATCGTCATCATAGTATTGGCCTGAGTAGCGGTCCTTGTCACTGTAGTAGCTTGGTGGGCGTTTCTCATTCAGCGATGTCTGACTCTTCCTCATGCTGTCAGCATCGCGGTCATAGTCGTAGTAGCTGCAACAACAGGAAATACAATGTCAGGTCACATTGTCAGCATCATAGTCGTAGTAGCTGCAACAACAGGAAATACAATGTCAGGTCACATTGTCAGCATCACAGTCATAGTAGCTACAACAACAGGAAATACAATGTCAGGTCACATTGTCAGCATCACAGTCATAGTAGCTGCAGCAACAGGAAATACAATGTCAGGTCACATTGTCAGCATCACAGTCATAGTAGCTGCAACAACAGGAAATACTATGTCGGGTCACATTGTCAGCATCATAGTCGTAGTAGCTACAACAACAGGAAATACAATGTCAGGTCACATTGTCAGCATCATAGTCATAGTAGCTACAACAACAGGAAATACTATGTCGATCACATTGTCAGCATCATAGTCGTAGTAGCTACAACAACAGGAAATACTATGTCAGATCACATTGTCAGCATCACAGTCATAGTAGCTGCAGCAACAGGAAATACAATGTCAGGTCACATTGTCAGCATCATAGTCATAGTAGCTGCAACAACAGGAAATACTATGTCAGGTCACATTGTCAGCATCATAGTCATAGTAGCTACAACAACAGGAAATACAATGTCAGGTCACATTGTCAGCATTACAGTCATAGTAGCTGCAACAACAGGAAATACAATGTCAGGTCACATTGTCAGCATCATAGTCATAGTAGCTGCAACAACAGGAAATACAATGTCAGGTCACATTGTCAGCATCACAGTCATAGTAGCTGCAACAACAGGAAATACAATGTCAGGTCACATTGTCAGCATCACAGTCATAGTAGCTGCAACAACAGGAAATACAATGTCAGGTCACATTGTCAGCATCACAGTCATAGTAGCTGCAACAACAGGAAATACAATGTCAGGTCACATTGTCAGCATCACAGTCATAGTAGCTACAACAACAGGAAATACAATGTCAGGTCACATTGTCAGCATCACAGTCATAGTAGCTACAACAACAGGAAATACAATGTCAGGTCACATTGTCAGCATCACAGTCATAGTAGCTGCAACAACAGGAAATAAAATGTCAGGTCACATTGTCAGCATCACAGTCATAGTAGCTGCAACAACAGGAAATACAATGTCAGGTCACATTGTCAGCATCACAGTCATAGTAGCTGCAACAACAGGAAATACAATGTCAGGTCACATTGTCAGCATCACAGTCATAGTAGCTACAACAACAGGAAATACAATGTCAGGTCACATTGTCAGCATCACAGTCATAGTAGCTACAACAACAGGAAATACAATGTCAGGTCACATTGTCAGCATCATAGTCATAGTAGCTGCAACAACAGGAAATACAATGTCAGGTCACATTGTCAGCATCACAGTCATAGTAGCTGCAACAACAGGAAATACAATGTCAGGTCACATTGTCAGCATCACAGTCATAGTAGCTGCAACAACAGGAAATACAATGTCAGGTCACATTGTCAGCATCACAGTCATAGTAGCTGCAACAACAGGAAATACAATGTCAGGTCACATTGTCAGCATCACAGTCATAGTAGCTACAACAACAGGAAATACAATGTCAGGTCACATTGTCAGCATCACAGTCATAGTAGCTACAACAACAGGAAATACAATGTCAGGTCACATTGTCAGCATCATAGTCATAGTAGCTGCAACAACAGGAAATAAAATGTCAGGTCACATTGTCAGCATCACAGTCATAGTAGCTACAACAACAGGAAATACAATTTCAGGTCACATTGTCAGCATCATAGTCATAGTAGCTGCAACAACAGGAAATACTATATCAGGTCACATTGTCAGCATCATAGTCGTAGTAGCTGCAACAACAGGAAATACAATGTCAGGTCACATTGTCAGCATCATAGTCGTAGTAGCTACAACAACAGGATACAATGTCAGGTCACATTGTCAGCATCACAGTCATAGTAGCTGCAACAACAGGAAATACAATGTCCGGTCACATTGTCAGGATCATAGTCGTAGTAGCTACAACAACAGGATACAATGTCAGGTCACATTGTCAGCATCATAGTCATAGTAGCTGCAACAACAGGAAATACAATGTCAGGTCACATTGTCAGCATCAGTCATAGTAGCTGCAACAACAGGAAATACAATGTCAGGTCACATTGTCAGGATCAGTCATAGTAGCTGCAACAACAGGAAATACAATGTCAGGTCACATTGTCAGCATCATAGTCGTAGTAGCTACAACAACAGGAAATACAATGTCAGGTCACATTGTCAGCATCATAGTCATAGTAGCTGCAACAACAGGAAATAAAATGTCAGGTCACATTGTCAGCATCACAGTCATAGTAGCTACAACAACAGGAAATACAATTTCAGGTCACATTGTCAGCATCATAGTCATAGTAGCTGCAACAACAGGAAATACTATGTCAGGTCACATTGTCAGCATCATAGTCGTAGTAGCTGCAACAACAGGAAATACAATGTCAGGTCACATTGTCAGGATCAGTCATAGTAGCTGCAACAACAGGAAATACAATGTCAGGTCACATTGTCAGCATCATAGTCGTAGTAGCTACAACAACAGGAAATACAATGCCTTTGGACTGCACCAGTGTTGTAGGTACTGGGACTCCCTGTGATTATTTCAAGGGTGCCTCTGGATGGATCCTGTTTTGCCACTACTGAGACTCCTGCATTTTGCCCGTACTGGAGCTCCTGGTCGTAATCCCTATATATTCTATATACTGTTAACGTACTTATTTTCGCCCGGTGCAATTTTCGCGGAATTGACAGTTTAGACTACATCGCGCGGTCAATTATTCGCGCAATTAGTAATTGCCGGAACTGCCAGCTGTCTCTTTGGCCGCCACTAATAGAAGTTAAAACAAACAGAGTAGCTTAACCTGTCAGGCGGCGTTTATTGCTTACTCACAGAAAATCCCTATCTGTGCGATATACTAGTACACAGTAATCCGTTTACTCAAGGAAGAGATGAAAAACACATCAGTCTTATGTTCCGAATTCTGACGATCTGACGAATTAACTTCTACTGTATATGAAGCTCTTTGTGATTTCTCACAAGCCAGGTTGTTGTGAATGAGATGATTGAGTGTTAAGTGACTATTTGCTTCATGATGTACTGGTAAATAAAATCTTAATGAATAAATAAAATACTGCTGTATTATTTCTTTCCGAGTTGTTTCATGGTAATCTGTTTTGTATCAAACCATCTGTCATGTGACCAATTTCCATGGCGGCCAAAACACACATTGCTGTTTTCGCTAATTCGGCGATGGGATTTGGCTCATTATTTAATTATGTTTTGGGAAATCCTTTACAGCGACAGTTAAGTAAGATTCTTTATGCTACTATCAGTCGTCATTTTAAGATTCCCGTAGATTTCTGTCTTCAAACTTGATGTGTTATGGTAACAACTCAGGGGCAAGCGTGGCTAGACTGAATGAATGACAGGTTTATTCGCGGTGTATAAATTTTCGCGCTAAAATGTTTTGCGCGAAAAGAGCGAAAATAAAACAAGCGTGAAATATAATACGTTTACAGTATCTGCCTCATTAGGTTACCGTAACAACATTGTCTTACCTGTCTCTATCTCGGTCATCATAGTAATCATTGTTGTAGCCGCGTGGCTCCGGGCCGAAGTCACTGGACCGGTCAGGGATGCGGGAAGTATCTGGACAGAAAAGCATCAGGATTTATATTCTTACATGAGAGTCACTCTTCATCATCAGCTGAAGCATCACCATCATAATAACTTTCACACAAATAAGGTGTCCTTGTTTTCATTTATCTAATGTCAGACTACTTTTTACATATTGTAGATAATAGCCATAGCAGACGACAAGGGGATGACATCTATCTTCTGACAGGTTGGACTGTTTATTGAAGGAGGTAGTCATTGTAGGAATGTCCACATCACCGTACTGCACTAATATAAGGCTATATATAAATCAATACTGAGGTTGGGCAGTTGCCTGTTAGTTCAGAGTTATTGTGATTCATGCTTCTGGGCGGTCTCATGCATGATGTCTGACACTTTTGATACACATGTTAAACTCTCCACCATGTATTTGTTTGACTATCACGACTTCTACACATATTATCTGCATTGTTAATGATGAAAACCATCAAACAGGACAGTATCACTGACAGAGAACCACCCCGTATATTACCATAGCTACGAAAGAACCTTTCTATTCAAGAAACTATTCCTTCATTGAGAGCATAGCACCCCACACGAGCCACACAAATGTAGTCGTACAACTGTCCTAACCATCATAATGTTAACATAGCTACTGTTTAGTACATCCATGTGCTTTTCACAGTCCTACTGGATACAAGGGGTGGTTGGGTAGCCCAGTGGTTAAAGCTTTCGCTCATCACGTGGAAGACCCGGGTTTGATTCCCCACATGGGTACAATGTGTGAATACTGAACACTGTGATATTGCTGGAATATTGCTAAAAGCAGCATAAAACCAAACTCCCTCACAGTCCTACTAGATACGAAGCCCTGGCCAAGGGACCAGACACCGATGGACAGACTTCAGCAGTGGGTCGTCATCAACAACAACAATCACTGTTGCACCTGGGAGTGCAACTGATACACTGAGATGCTCTCGTATTTTTCTCAAGGCAAAAGTCAAAATGCACAACACTTGCTCAGATGCATTTATCTAAGGACTACTGTTGTCTCAGTAAAAGACGTACACAAATACATAACTTGAAGGTATTCTGATGCAGTATTTGGAGGATATTGTACCTGAAACTATTATTCCAGTCATGTCTTACTTTAGTTTGAACAGTTGCTATCGATATCTAAAGATTTATAACAGCTAAAAGTGTTGCATCTAGATACACAGTCAGAAGTAATTTACATTTGGAACAGTTTGACAAGTCACTGTTTGAGGCTTCCTGTGGGTTTGCTACATTCGAACCCAAAAAATATGTTGACATAAAATAGTCAAACTAGAACAAATATGATCTTCAATGAGAGAAAATATGGTGTTTATGTTATATGGGTCCATTTTCTGTTAAGTAATTTTTGTTTCAAAGTGCCAATAACAGTAACAGATGGTTGTAGCTGAGTCGCTGTGATTAGTTCACACACAACTTCACCAATATTAATCTAAACAGCACTGAATAAAATTTTGAATAAAATTTTGAATAAAATGGATTATAAACATAAGTCATGATAAACAGTAGCATTCATTATAGTCAGAAACTGTAGGACAGAATTAATATGCATATTTTATCAAACGCCTCTGCCCCACTTTTTGTTCCAAATTTGGATTAGAATCTGGTTCTTCATTTAGTACAGCCCTATTTACAACAAAACATGAATAGAAACAAAAATGATTTACAGATGTTTTACACAAAATACACACTGGTAAAGTTGACAAGACACTACACACTTTCTGTTAAACCCAAAACATGTTGTTCACTTACATCTGAATTTGTCCATTATTTGGAAAGTAAGTAAATTACTGAATCAAAATTTTCTGTCATTCAGTATAAGATGTAATCCAAACAGTACCTCTAAAAATCACAAATTATCCAAAATGAGCTAATAAATATTTTTCTTAGCATTAGAATACTAATAATGGTCCACTGTTAAAATCCACTTCGAGCTTATAAGAACCATTTTAACAGATTTAAAAGTACTCATGTAATAGCACAATGATGTAATCATTTCAAAGATATATTCTGAATGGCGTTTTGGACATCCTGAACAATTACTTACTGAACATCCTTAATTCACACAAATGCTCATGTATACAGTTACTTACATGTAATGAATGCTTTTAACAAATCAAGAAAATTAACATACCTAATGTTTATGAATATGAAAAGGGTCCAAAAGGTGATTAAATCAGTTCACAAAACCCTTGAATGTAACTAAACAAATCTCCCAGTCTCACATAGAAGCCCCGTCCCCCAGTACAGAGTCTCTGCACTGATAAATATGGTATCTAACAATGAGGTAAATATAGCAATATCTTGTCTGTATTCACTCACTTCTAATAAGTTTTATTCTCTTAAAGATATACTGTTACTAAAAGCTTCTATTCCGTGCAATACTTAAACCAGCAACAGTGATGTGGCATCAATGAACACAATGTAATGGCTTGTTGAAACTAACAAGCTATCAGTGACATTAGTAGAAGGAGGATTTGTTACTCAATGGTGATCATGAGGTGAGTCTGACATCAAAGATGGTGCCAACATCCGCCCAATAACACCATGATGTTAAGAGCGGTCGTCAGTTGTCAGTATACGTTGTTTACGACACATGAGAAGCAGAGAGGAGGAAAACAGCGATGACAATGGAGAAGCCAAGCAAGTTGTGACAGGGTAGGACACACAAAACTGGACAGACAAATGTTATCATGCAGATGAGGGGACCAACAAGACTAAATGTAAACATGCTCCCATCCACCCAGGTATGAAAGGACTTCAGGATTAACTTCATCTCATCTATTCTGGAGGTTATCTTTAACACTGAGTGTGAACCAGGCCACAAACAAAATGCCTCTGTTTCGGGCAACGTGCCCAATTGAACAAAATAGCACCGACTTATTTGTACTTTTTGACCTCAAAATCGGCATGTCTGTCCATCCACAATCATTTAATCATGTAAGGTCTTAACCAAAAATCCCTACCTACCAAAATTAAAAAAAGTGCTTCGCGTTGCCCGAAACACAGATATTTTTAATGATGGCCCTATTCTGAATATTTTTTATGACGTAACCAAGCATCACAATTGAGGAGTCCTACTCACATGGCTCATGTTCTGAATCAGAAGTATCTTTTCCAGACACCCCTGAAATGGATTGGTTTCTAGTTTTCTAATTCTGCTTATTTGTATAACATTATCATGTCTAGAACATCTCTGTTAACTGTTCTTGGAAGAATTGTGATAATGAGTGAAAAGCTGGATGGAAGTTCCTTGAAGCTGATACACTGTTAGTAGACACAATCATTGAGACAGCTGTGGGTTACACTCAGCAATCCGATGAGCAATGATTCCAAGGCCTACGCTTGATCCATTGAAATTAAACATTAAACAGAATACTCCATGTTTTGACGAATATACGGATGGAAAAACATTAGGGAATGTATGAAGTTTACCATAAATGAGAAGAACACATGATGATAATGAGATGTCCGATACTGAATGTTTCTAATATATGTGAGGCCATGACTCGGGACAACTGCCTGACACCATCATGGCACGCTCCTCACTAGGTTCCTGATGATAGATCTTGAAATGCAGAGCCATTCATCTTGAACTGCTACGGTTCTGCTCTTTGACCCAAGACCCTACCACGCTCAATGAGGCTCAAGTCAAGACATTTGGCAGGCCAGGGTGGCAGTTTCATCTGAGCAGCCCATAGCATAAGCCTGAAGACATGAGCAGTATGAGGGCAGCAGTGTCCTGCTGAAAGCTATGGGCCAACAGTATCACAACTGGTGTCGACACATTGCCATGGTAACAGATACCAGTGACCTTACCATCACGGCAAATGAGGTCAGTCGTAGTATCAAAGGTTGTCCTGCTCACACCACTACAGATCCCCCAACATATGTCATGTGCTGCATGGCAACTGATGTTCATGGACCTGCCGTGAACACAACCATCTGAATGTATCAGAAGGAAGCCCAGACTTACAGACAAACATCCTGGATGCATGGATGCCTATCTGCTATACACCCTCTAATGAAAACATCTTTGAACATCAGTCATCTTGATGACTACAACAGCACAGTTATTGTTTAGTGCTAATGTCTATGTTTGTGCTTGCTCTGAAGTCAGTGTTCACTTCTGAAGAGGATTTATAGTGATCCAATAAAGCTGCACAAGCCTATTTTCATGAATTGTGACTAGGGGTCATTTTAGGATTCTGTCCACAACCTTGTTGCATCATGTCCCATGAATGTACAGAGGTTCCACTGTCACGACAGGACACCGACTAACTTCTGAAGTTTCATTGCAATAGCCAGTTGGCCTATGGAGGTTCCACTGTCACGACAGGACACCGACTGACTTCTGAAGTTTCATTGCAATAGCCAGTGGGCCTATGGAGGTTCCACAGTCACGACAGGACACCGACTGACTTCTGAAGTTTCATTGCAATAGCCAGTAGGCCTATGGAGGTTCCACTGTCATGACATTGACTTTCTTCTGCCTGGTGCAGCCTCTTCCACCTTTACTGTGGTAAACTCTGGTATTATCTTGCCATGTTTCCCCAATAAAGACTCCCAAAGTTTTACTATGCACACACATATTGTCTCCATAAGTGAGTGTAGTTTTACACCACACTCCAAAATTCCAGCTATATGGCAATGGTCTGTAAATAATCAAGTCTGGACCAGACAATCCAGTGATCAACATCAAAAGCATCCATTTTGTGTCCATGTTTCCATGCAATGCATCACTGAAACATGATTTCTACAAGCATACAAGTTTCATTGCTGCATTTGGTTGCACTAATTGCAGCTGTATTTTCACAATTAGTCATCAGTGGTGGGATGTTCCCACATTTATGGCTTCATGATATATACATTCCTATAGATTTTTTAATCCGTATATTACTCAAGACTAGTTCAACATCTGATGATTCTGTTTAATGTCAGTGGTTTTGCATGCACTAGTGAAAACAATCAGTTCAATATCAGTTTTGCAGTTTTGTTTCAAAAATGTTTTGTATATATTAGCAAAGCCAGGCAGAAAATTTGGTTTGATGTTAGAATGGAAAACCTTTCTCAGCCTTCTTTCACCAAAGTACACTTAAATGAAGATCAAGCATATTCAGCACTTACTCTCATCAAGCTAACTCACAATAGAATGGAAAATCTTTTTTAAGACTCATTATGCAACCTTGAATCCTTCCATAGGTGTTTGAATGGGGTGTTACACAGGGCAACCACTGGTTTTGCACCCCCTCCACACTCAACATAAAGAGGACTGGGTTTTACAGCTTCGGTACAAACACACTGCCACCAGGTTAGGTTGATAAGCTTCCTAAAAGAGTCACTAAAACACATGTCATATCCTGTAGTCATTCTAAGATCCTCATCCTTATGTCTCCTGCCTCGGACAGTTATAGGGATCTACACAACCTGGCAATCATTGGGGCAGATACAATTCAGGGGCCCATTTCACAATGCGATGGTAGTGCTACGACTGTTGTAAGTCTATGTTAAAGCATGGGAGTTACGATCGCCTTAGTACTACAATTGGTTTGTGGAATGGGGCCCAGACCCTGAACAGCGCGCTTTCATTACTATGAGATCTCTAGTACAAGGAATTATTTGGTTAAGTTGAATAAAATTTCTGCATTAGTAAGTTGATGGTACCTGCCGGAAGACACTAGCTGAACGATGACTGCAAAACTGATTTTGAACTTTGGCCTACAGGACATGGACCTGTGCTCCCATACAACATCAAGGTGGTGAGGTGACAAACAAATCATCAATGTAGTATCTATAAGGTTAAACCAAGAATTCTACAAAAACAGAGTTGACTTGCACCATGCAAACTGAAGGGATAGTACAGGAGAGACAGACTTACTTATACCTGTATAAGTAGCTTCTGGATAACGACCCCCTCTGTCCGGGGACCCCTTTCCTCCCATCTCAAAGCCTCGCTTGATCAGACAGTAGGCGAGGATGACGAGAGCAATGAGGACTAAGAGAGCTACCAGCATTCCAATAAACCAGCCGATGTTGCCAATGAGAGCCGATGCTGCAGCTGTAAGGAGAAGTAGAAACAGCTGAAGGTTTAGTTGTCTTCATGACTTATATCATGTTTAAAGTTTACTTGACAACAACTCAAACCTTGTAATATTTAGTTACACTGAGTGAATGGGGTTTTATTGGGGTTATCCATGCTTAACTTTGGTTGCTGGCGATCTGTTGTCCAATGTAATGTTATGCAAAGTAATATCTTTGCATGGTCCATTGCTAACAAGTTTTATATTGTCTAAATGTATTTAGCATTAATGTATAACTTTATCTAGTAACTATAATATAGCAGAAATACTATATATATATGAAAGCTTTCATTGTACACCTGAAGAGCCGATGAACGGCGAAAGATCTTGTGCAGATATGAAGGAGAATTGGCAAAAAGAAATATCTGGACTCATATTATATATATTTATTGCTTATACACCTGCAGAAATCACTTGTTTATATATATATACTTCCTTTTTTTTCTCGCTCGATACAAAAAATGTTTCAATGGACTGACTGAAAGGTGTTTTATGTCATATGATATTTGCAAATAGATAAAAAGGGGATAACAAATTGGGGAATGGCTGGCTTTTCTAGTGTCATGGTTGTCACAACCATTACTCACCGACTCCAAGGGTGGTGACCTTTTCAATATAGGACTCTGTCCGCTGCTTGCCATTGGTTGCCACAACACGAATGTCATATGTGGTTCCTGACTCGAGGTCGGTGATGTTCTTGAATGTGTTGACGACCTCATCTGTGGAGCGCTGCCACTCAGGGGCACCTGCAACCCAGACACATGGGAAATTGTCTATTGTAAAGAAAGCTGGGAACACCCACTACAAACAAAGTATTGTCACTCAATCAGCACTGCCATTGTTATTGATGTTGGTCTGAACACTGAGATATGTGTTTATCAGAATCACAGATGAATAGAAAAACATTGTATTTTAAACTATTTCCAGCATATTTAACGCACTAAAAGTTGTGAACACCAACTGGTTGATGAATATTTCCATATCATCAACTTCACATATGTTCATCCTGATATCCCGTCTGCGTTTACCTACTACCCAGTCATGACATAGTACTGTTTACTCTCATAACAAGAAGCTTCCCATAATTTAAGTCAAATTCACTACACAAATATACTTAGTTTGAAGCAAAAATGACCCACTCTGGCAAACTAATGTTTCTCAAATTCTGTATAGTAACCATACCACGTGAGATTCTTTATCATTTTGAAAATGTAGATTCCTAGATGAATACCTCAGAGTTTGTCCTTGACACAGTAAAAGAGTAAAAGAGTAAAAAGTAAAACTACAGAGGGCTACACTGATTCTCTTCCACCGTGTAAGTGTCAGTGATGCCCTGTTAGCCAACAGTGATTACCTTCCTTCCTGTACTCCACGAAGATGACAGTCCCGGACCTAGCGTAGGGGTTCACCCACCACGTCACGTTGATATTGGTTTCCCCAATATTGGCAATAGTGTAACGCGGGGCCTCTGGACCTATTAACACAAACAGGGAGATTGATCATCAGTATAACAACAACTTGGCCTCTAATCGGTGCTGTTAAAGCAACAACTTGGCCACTAATCAGTGATGTTACAGCAACAACTTGGCCCCTAATCAGTGATGTTACAGCAACAACTTGGCCACTAATCAGTGACATTACAAGACAACTTGGCCACTAATCAGTGATGTTACAGCAACAACTTGGCCACTAATCAGTGATGTTACAGCAACCACTTGGCCACTAATCGGTGACGTTACAGCAACAACTTGGCCATTAATCAATGACGTTACAGGAACAACTTGGCCACTAATCGGTGCTGTTACAGCAACAACTTGGCCACTAATCAGTGACATTACAGGACAACTTGGCCACTAATCAGTGATGTTACAGCAACAACTTGGCCACTAATCAGTGATGTTACAGCAACCACTTGGCCACTAATCGGTGACGTTACAGCAACAACTTGGCCATTAATCAGTGACGTTACAGGAACAACTTGGCCACTAATCGGTGCTGTTACAGCAACAACTTGGCCACTAATCAGTGACGTTACAGCAACCACTTGGCCACTAATCGGTGACGTTACAGCAACAACTTGGCCATTAATCAGTGACGTTACAGCAACAACTTGGCCATTAATCAGTGACGTTACAGGAACAACTTGGCCACTAATCGGTGCTGTTACAGCAACAACTTGGCCACTAATCGGTGACGTTACAGGACAACTTGGCCACTAATCAGTGATGTTACAGCAACAACTTGGCCACTAATCAGTGATGTTACAGCAACCACTTGGCCACTAATCGGTGACGTTACAGCAACAACTTGGCCATTAATCAATGACGTTACAGGAACAACTTGGCCACTAATCGCTGCTGTTACAGCAACAACTTGGCCACTAATCAGTGACATTACAGGACAACTTGGCCAGTAATCAGTGATGTTACAGCAACAACTTGGCCACTAATCAGTGATGTTACAGCAACCACTTGGCCACTAATCGGTGATGTTACAGCAACAACTTGGCCACTAATCAGTGACGTTACAGCAACAACTTGGCCACTAATCAGTGACATTACAGGACAACTTGGCCACTAATCAGTGATGTTACAGCAACAACTTGGCCACTAATCAGTGATGTTACAGCAACCACTTGGCCACTAATCGGTGACGTTACAGCAACAACTTGGCCATTAATCAGTGAACAACTTGCTAATTGGTTGTTACAGCAACAACTTGGCCACTAATCGGTGACGTTACAGCAACAACTTGGCCACTAATCAGTGATGTTACAGCAACAACTTGGCCACTAATCGGTGATGTTACAGCAACCACTTGGCCACTAATCGGTGACGTTACAGCAACAACTTGGCCACTAATCAGTGACGTTACAGCAACAACTTGGCCACTAATCGGTGCTGTTACAGCAACAACTTGGCCACTAATCAGTGATGTTACAGCAACAACTTGGCCACTAATCGGTGGTGCCACGTTACAGCAACAACTTGGATGTTACAGCAACAAATCTAATCAGTGACGTTACAGGAACAACGGTGGCCACTAATCGGGTGATGTTACAGCAACAACTTGGCCACTAATCAGTGATGTTACAGCAACCTGCTTGGCCACTAATCGGTGATGTTACAGCAACAACTTGGCCACTAATCAGTGGCGTTACAGCAACAACTTGGCCACTAATCAGTGATGTTACAGGACAACAACTTGGCCACTAATCAGTGACGTTACAGCAACAACTTGGCCACTAATCGGTGGATGTTACAGCAACAACTTGGCATTAATCAGTGACGTTACAGGAACAACTTGGCCACTAATCACTGTTACAGCAACAACTTGGCCACTAATCAGTGATGTTACAGCAACAACTTGGCCACTAATCGGTGATGTTACAGCAACAACTTGGCCACTAATCGGTGACGTTACAGCAACAACTTGGCCACTAATCAGTGACGTTACAGCAACAACAACTTGGCCACTAATCGGTGATGTTACAGCAACAACTTGGCGTTACTAATCAGTGATGTTACAGCAACAACTTGGCCACTAATCGGTGATGTTACAGCAACAACTTGGCCACTAATCAGTGATCGTTACATTACACAACAACTTGGCCACTAATCAGTGATGTTACAGCAACAACTTGGCCACTAATCAGTGGCTGTTACAGCAACAACTTGGCCACTAATCAGTGATGTTACAGCAACAACTTGGCCACTAATCAGTGATGTTACAGCAACAACTTGGCCACTAATCGGTGATGTTACAGCAACAACTTGGCCACTAATCAGTGATGTTACAGCAACAACTTGGCCACTAATCAGTGATGTTACAGCAACAACTTGGCCACTAATCAGTGATGTTACAGCAACAACTTGGCCACTAATCAGTGATGTTACAGCAACAACTTGGCCACTAATCGGTGATGTTACAGCAACAACTTGGCCAACTAATCAGTGATGTTACATCACTTGGCCACTAATCGGTGATGTTACAGCAACAACTTGGCCACTAATCAGTGATGTTACAGCAACAACTTGGCCACTAATCAGTGACGTTACAGCAACAACTTGGCCACTAATCAGTGATGTTACAGCAACAACTTGGCCACTAATCGGTGACGTTACAGCAACAACTTGGCCACTAATCAGTGATGTTACAGCAACAACTTGGCCACTAATCAGTGACGTTACAGCAACAACTAATCGGTGATGTTACAGCCACTAATCGGTGACGTTACAGCAACAACTTGGCCACTAATCAGTGATGTTACAGCAACAACTTGGCCACTAATCAGTGATGTTACAGCAACAACTTGGCCACTAATCAGTGATGTTACAGCAACAACTTGGCCACTAATCAGTGACGTTACAGCAACAACTTGGCCACTAATCGGTATGTTACGGTGATGTTACAGCAACAACTTGGCCACTAATCAGTGATGTTACAGCAACAACTTGGCCACTAATCGGTGATGTTACAACAACAACTAATCAGTGATGTTACAGCCACTTGGCTAATCAAGTGATGTTACAGCAACAACTTGGCCACTAATCAGTGATGTTACAGTTACAGCAACAGTGCTGTTACTTGGCCACTAATCGGTGATGTTACAGCAACAACTTGGCCACTAATCAGGTGATGTTACAGCAACAACTTGGCCACTAATCGGTGATGTTACAGCAACAACTTGGCCACTAATCAGTGATGTTACAGCAACAACTTGGCCACTAATCGGTGATGTTACAGCAACAAACTAATCGGTGGCAACAACGGCACTAATCAGTGATGTTACAGCAACAACTTGGCCACTAATCAGTGACGTTACAGCAACAACTTGGCCACTAATCGGTGATGTTACAGCAACAACTTGGCCACTAATCAGTGACGTTACAGCAACAACTTGGCCACTAATCAGTGATGTTACAGCAACAACTTGGCCACTAATCCGTGACATTACAGCAACAACTTGGCCACTAATCAGTGATGTTACAGCAACAACTTGGCCACTAATCAGTGACGTTACAGCAACAACTTGGCCACTAATCGGTGATGTTACAGCAACAACTTGGCCACTAATCGGTGATGTTACAGCAACAACTTGGCCACTAATCAGTGACGTTACAGGAACAACTTGGCCACTAATCAGTGATGTTACAGGAACAACTTGGCCACTAATCAGTGACGTTACAGCAACAACTTGGCCACTAATCAGTGTCGTTACAGCAACAACTTGGCCACTAATCGGTGACATTACAGGAACAACTTGGCCACTAATCAGTGATGTTACAGCAACAACTTGGCCACTAATCAGTGATGTTACAGCAACAACTTGGCCACTAATCAGTGATGTTACAGGAACAACTTGGCCACTAATCAGTGATGTTACAGGAACAACTTGGCCACTAATCAGTGATGTTGAAGCAACAACTTGGCAACTAATCAGTGATGTTGTAGCGACAACTTGGCCACTAATCAGTGATGTGATCACTTACCTATTAATTATCAGCAATATAACAATGCCTAAACATTTACATAAGCATTCATGACAAATTGACACACAAAGCTGTAATTTTCAAATTATTCCTACAGTAGTCAAAGATTCAATAGTCAGATAGTGTCATGAACTTACTTCCAGCTTTTGATGTTGTCAGCTCAATGAAGTATCCGTCCCCACGACCAATTGAGGTCCGAGCCCAGATGTACACTCTGTACTTTGTGCTAGGGAGGAGGCCACTCAGGATCTCAGATGTCTGGAAGCGATTGTTGATCTGTGGCTCTCTGTCTTGCATCTTGCCAAGGTCAAGGCCAGACACTGTTCAAGAACAATACTTACTAGTTCAGGAATCCAAGATATCACATGTCATTTTCCATTAATATTAGAAATAACATCTTTGTCTACAAGAATTGTAATTCTGTTTCAGGTAGGTGAAAATTCTATGAAAACGTAAGCTTCTCTTGGGTAACAGTCATGTCATTCCCAGAGAGGTCACTTGAAGCTTGGTGACCATCAATCCACTGTCAATGTTCATATATATTGTAAACAATATCTTGCAATAATACTTGGAAAGAGGTTTTCCCAGAGGTCATTATCCACTACTCTTCTGTTTTTCAACAGTCTCTACATACAGTAAGAACAGAGCAATACCTATCTGGTATCCAATGTCATATCCTATGATTTCTCCATTTTCATCCATTGGAGACCCCCACTCAAGGTTGAAATGATTGTCACCGATGTTGCGAAACTTGAAAAACTCAACTGGACCAGGAACTGAAATAGATTTCAAACTTGAAGGTTTTACGAACCAAGTAAGCATGCATATATCATAACCACAATACAAACTGTTTCCCACCCTCATTTACAGGTTCCAGGGTATCTACCATTTGCTTTACACTGACAAATATATCAAAGAGATATTAACTCCATACCTCCCTCATCTGTGCGGAACTGTATGATGTCTGTCGGTCGGCCAACATAGTAGTTGTTCATGACCGCAACCCGTGCCTCCAGATACGTGTATGGGAGAAGGTTGTCCACTGTGGCAAAGATTTGATTACCAACACGATTTGCTTCTACTTCCTCCGGGCCTATGTCCCATTCTCTCATCGTGGTTTCTCGGAGATTACGGCGCCATACTTGCACCTAGCATCACAATTGACAGATTAGTCAAGACAGCCTTTCAGATATTAATTCACAAAACACAAATGCAGCAAACTGCTGTCATCAATATTTAAATTTTGTTTAGTGAGTATAGTTTTATGCCGCTTTGGGCAATATTCTAGCAATATGACACATTTTGAATAGAATAGAATATTGAACCTGGGTCTTCAGCATGTGAGAAACTGCATTCTCTCCTAACTTTTCATACATAAGTTGTCATGTTCACAACTTCTATTTGTCTGCTTACTTTGAATCCTTTGAACTCTCCATTTATTGAAGTAGCCTCAACCCCAACAACACTCATGTCAAAGTTCCAAGACAAGATGGCCGTGGTGTCCTCAATCTGTGTTGCCTGAAGGTCAGTAGGCACTATACCAGGAACTGTAAGACAAAATACAAGGTGTCTTTAGTCTTGGATAATTAAATACATTTTGAAACTGTGGCATGTGATAAATTCTTCACCATGTTTGCTGAATATAGGATCTTATCATATTTAACATGCATCACTTTTGCTACACAATGTAAGCATTACTTACAATAAGCTAACTGAAAGTAAGAATCATTAGCTATTTCATTCTTGAAATGTAAAAAGGTCAATAAAATCAGTAACAAGACTATACAGTTACTAACAGAGTTGAAATAGACTGTCTTGGAGTCATCTGTTGTCTCACAGGTGACGGTTAGACAGAAGACTTTATAACGCTTTTACCATCTTCAGAAGCCTCATCAAAAAACGAAGTTTCTGTGAGGTCAACTCCTTTGAGAGAATATCAGAATAACAGAGCATAGAGATCAAACTCACTCTCTTCTCCTGAGTAGCCAGTGAAGAGGACAGCATCTTGCTGTGCTTCTCCCATACTGTTCTTAGCTTTCAGCGTGATCTCGTAGGGCCTGTAGACATCAGAGGTTGCATAAAGGAAATGATCGACAGTCCAATCATCTATCGGCTTTGTCTGCATCAAGGAGTCCGGATCACCCTGCCGTTTGAACTGCAGGATATACTGGAACCCTGGACCATTCTGCTGGATCTGGGGCATTGTCTGTTATAACAAGAAACAACAGGACTTAGGATAAAAACAGATGATGTCAGTGGCCATAGTGACCTTGACCTTTTGTATAACTCAGGGGCAGTAAATGTCTAGTTGGGAGTGGCGCTTTTTTATATATGTGCTGTCTCCAGACAAGCCAAGTTCAATGTTACAGTTTCTATAAAGCTTAAAGGTCACATGCAACCAAAAATACAAACATAATCAAAACACAATTATCCCTTTTTCATGATATATAATATGCATTGCTGATTATGAAAAAATAAATAAACAAAATTTAGCTAAACCTGTAGAGGTTTCCAATTCTTTGAAGAGAGTCATCCTTGGGGTACATATATGCATTTTCTGCGGCTGAAAATGTCATGTGACAGTTGTATCAATGTTTTAATAAAAAATATTGTACAATAAATAAAAATCTGTTTTATCTATTATACGGCCCCCACCACGTGGAGTTACCTCCCTGCTACGCATGCGCAGCCAACCAGGTAAGCACCTAGGCCCGTATCATCATTCCTTCTGCTGAAGAAATCAGTGAACAGAATTGCGGGGAGGTGGGCGGCCCTACCCCAAGGACGACTCTCTTCAAAGAATTGGAAACCTCTACAGGTTTAGCTAATCCTTTTTCATAGAGATCATCCTTGGGGTACATATATGCATAAACTCAGACTCCGAAAGAGCGGAGGCCAGGGAGGAGGGAATTCTGTCAAAGTACACATAAATAGCGATCGTTAGGAAGAATGTAACAGACGTGTCACGTGTCACGATAAGTACTTAGATCCGACCTCAGGTTAAGCACAGCAATTCGCACAGTGTGAAAGTAAAAACCCCGCCCACATCATGATCTATTAGAGACCACCGTAAGGGGGAAAAACCAACTCACAACCGACCATAATCCCGGAGAGAATAGAAAAGAGTTAGATAACACAACAGCAGATATATCAATAATACACAATTAAAAGCAGCGTCACCTGCCCAGATAACCAAGTCTCACTCGGTCAGGGTGGCAGGACACTGTACACTGGAGAGAACGGCCAAAACGTGCACGATCACGTGAATGTATATCGAGCTGATGGTGCCTGATAAAAGTGCTAGGCCTGCTCCAAATAGTGGCAGAGCATATCTCTTCAATGGGTAGTGCCGATGCAAAAGCCTTTGACGTGGCCACTGCCCTGACCGAGTGAGCCTTCAACCCCTCAGGGGGAGCCTGATAAGCAGCACAAATGACCGATACAAGCCAGCGAGATAGGGTCTGTTTGGTCGCCGGCATCCCCGCCTTCCCACCACCGTAACAGCAGAACAGATGGGTACCCGTATGGATCCCTTGTGTTCGTTTGATATAGACCTTGAGAGTCTTTCGGACATCCAACGGGTGAGTGCTCATTGCAGAGGTCCCCGATGTGGAAGGCTGGGTAAGAGTAGGAAGTTCGATGGGAGCTGTCACATGGAAAGCATGATCGATCTTCGGATGGTGAGTATCCGGGAGGCGAATACTGACACGATCTGGATGGAACAGTCAGCGCCGGGCCTGCCGACATAGCATGTAAGTCGCCGACCCTACGCCCAGATGTTACTGCCACCAGAAATACGGCCTTCCATGTTAACAACTTAATGGAAATAGCCGATAGATGTGAGAACGTAGGACCGGAAAGCCAATCTAGCACAATTGACAAATCCCAAGGTGGGCTGGTTAGCCTGACAGCAGGTCGAACCCGATCCACGCCAGCTAAAAGTGCTGTGGAAGGGTGCTGTTCCAGAAGAGCACCATCGACAGGGGTGTGAAAAGTGGAAAAGCGATGAAGTAGCCACGAATGGTCGAAGCCGCCAAGCCTTCTTCCAAACGAGCTTGCAAAAACTCCAATACTCGGACTAAATCCGCAGAAAAGGGATCTGCAATCCCCTTATCTGAACACCAGGGCGTACAGCAGGACCACCTATCCTCATATTGAACGTTTGTCGAATCCCGACTCGAAGCCAGAATTGTGTCTGCAACTGCTGCAGGAATTCCATGTGCTTCGAGGCTAGACAGGGGCCTGACAGAGGCCAAGCAACCCACTGAATCCTTGGATCGGGGTATGGAGCGCCGTTCTGAGTGAGAATGTCCGGTCGCAAAGGTAATAGAACAGGAGGCTGAGCCAGAAACCTAAGAATTATCGGAAACCAGCTCTGTGACGGCCATAGCGGTGCCAGTAGCACAAGTAGCCGAGCTGGCTGGGTGGACAGCTGGGAGAGGACCCGGGGAATGAGTGTTAGCGGCGGGAACGCCCAGAGCACTTTGCCCGTCCAATCCAGCAGGAAGGCGTCGGAAGCCAACGCCCTCTGGTCCGGTATCCGAGAGCAGAACACGGGTACCTGATTCGTCCCGCCCGACGCAAACAGATCCACCTGGAACGATCCGTACAACTGGGAGATAACTCCGAATATCTGCTGGTCGAGCATCCACTTGTGCGGGGCCAGGATCCAGCGAGAGAGAGCGTCTGCTCCCACATTCTCCAGCCCCGGGAGATAAACAGGAATCACCTGACAGTCGCACTGGTCGCAACAGAGGAGAAATTCCCACGTCTCCCAAAGGAGCGCTAGATAGCGATCGTTAGGAAGAATGTAACAGACGTGTCACGTGTCACGATAAGTACTTAGATCCGACCTCAGGTTAAGCACAGCAATTCGCACAGTGTGAAAGTAAAAACCCCGCCCACATCATGATCTATTAGAGACCACCGTAAGGGGGAAAAACCAACTCACAACCGACCATAATCCCGGAGAGAATAGAAAAGAGTTAGATAACACAACAGCAGATATATCAATAATACACAATTAAAAGCAGCGTCACCTGCCCAGATAACCAAGTCTCACTCGGTCAGGGTGGCAGGACACTGTACACTGGAGAGAACGGCCAAAACGTGCACGATCACGTGAATGTATATCGAGCTGATGGTGCCTGATAAAAGTGCTAGGCCTGCTCCAAATAGTGGCAGAGCATATCTCTTCAATGGGTAGTGCCGATGCAAAAGCCTTTGACGTGGCCACTGCCCTGACCGAGTGAGCCTTCAACCCCTCAGGGGGAGCCTGATAAGCAGCACAAATGACCGATACAAGCCAGCGAGATAGGGTCTGTTTGGTCGCCGGCATCCCCGCCTTCCCACCACCGTAACAGCAGAACAGATGGGTACCCGTATGGATCCCTTGTGTTCGTTTGATATAGACCTTGAGAGTCTTTCGGACATCCAACGGGTGAGTGCTCATTGCAGAGGTCCCCGATGTGGAAGGCTGGGTAAGAGTAGGAAGTTCGATGGGAGCTGTCACATGGAAAGCATGATCGATCTTCGGATGGTGAGTATCCGGGAGGCGAATACTGACACGATCTGGATGGAACAGTCAGCGCCGGGTCTGCCGACATAGCATGTAAGTCGCCGACCCTACGCCCAGATGTTACTGCCACCAGAAATACGGCCTTCCATGTTAACAACTTAATGGAAATAGCCGATAGATGTGAGAACGTAGGACCGGAAAGCCAATCTAGCACAATTGACAAATCCCAAGGTGGGCTGGTTAGCCTGACAGCAGGTCGAACCCGATCCACGCCAGCTAAAAAGTGCTGTGGAAGAGGGTGCTGTTCCAGAAGAGCACCATCGACAGGGGTGTGAAAAGTGGAAAAAGCGATGAAGTAGCCACGAATGGTCGAAGCCGCCAAGCCTTCTTCCAAACGAGCTTGCAAAAACTCCAATACTCGGACTAAATCCGCAGAAAAGGGATCTGCAATCCCCTTATCTGAACACCAGGGCGTACAGCAGGACCACCTATCCTCATATTGAACGTTTGTCGAATCCCGCCTCGAAGCCAGAATTGTGTCTGCAACTGCTGCAGGAATTCCATGTGCTTCGAGGCTAGACAGGGGCCTGACAGAGGCCAAGCAACCCACTGAATCCTTGGATCGGGGTATGGAGCGCCGTTCTGAGTGAGAATGTCCGGTCGCAAAGGTAATAGAACAGGAGGCTGAGCCAGAAACCTAAGAATTATCGGAAACCAGCTCTGTGGACGGCCATAGCGGTGCCAGTAGCACAAGTAGCCGAGCTGGCTGGGTGGACAGCTGGGAGAGGACCCGGGGAATGAGTGTTAGCGGCGGGAACGCCCAGAGCACTTTGCCCGTCCAATCCAGCAGGAAGGCGTCGGAAGCCAACGCCCTCTGGTCCGGTATTCGAGAGCAGAACACGGGTACCTGATTCGTCCCGCCCGACGCAAACAGATCCACCTGGAACGATCCGTACAACTGGGAGATAACTCCGAATATCTGCTGGTCGAGCATCCACTTGTGCGGGGCCAGGATCCAGCGAGAGAGAGCGTCTGCTCCCACATTCTCCAGCCCCGGGAGATAAACAGGAATCACCTGACAGTCGCACTGGTCGCAACAGAGGAGAAATTCCCACGTCTCCCAAAGGAGCGCTAGATAGCGATCGTTAGGAAGAATGTAACAGACGTGTCACGTGTCACGATAAGTACTTAGATCCGACCTCAGGTTAAGCACAGCAATTCGCACAGTGTGAAAGTAAAAACCCCGCCCACATCATGATCTATTAGAGACCACCGTAAGGGGGAAAAACCAACTCACAACCGACCATAATCCCGGAGAGAATAGAAAAGAGTTAGATAACACAACAGCAGATATATCAATAATACACAATTAAAAGCAGCGTCACCTGCCCAGATAACCAAGTCTCACTCGGTCAGGGTGGCAGGACACTGTACACTGGAGAGAACGGCCAAAACGTGCACGATCACGTGAATGTGTATCGAGCTGATGGTGCCTGATAAAAGTGCTAGGCCTGCTCCAAATAGTGGCAGAGCATATCTCTTCAATGGGTAGTGCCGATGCAAAAGCCTTTGACGTGGCCACTGCCCTGACCGAGTGAGCCTTCAACCCCTCAGGGGGAGCCTGATAAGCAGCACAAATGACCGATACAAGCCAGCGAGATAGGGTCTGTTTGGTCGCCGGCATCCCC